TATTATTATTAATATTATTATATTATTATGATTAATATTATTATTTATATTATTTTTATTATGCGTTAAAGGAATATATGTTTACATTTTTGTTATATATGTTAAATATAATAATTACAAAAACATTTTTATTAAATATAAATACTGTATATCTAATATACATAAATAATATGAAATATGCATGAAATATTTTTTTCTACATAAATATACTACTTTATTTATTCCCTATTGGTGCTACCTAAGTATTTTTTGTTAAGAATTTTAAAGCATTAATTGTATTATTTGTATTTAAATTTAATTTTTATTAAAGTTTCTTAATCTTGTAATATTTTTATAAATTTTATATATTCTTAATATATTAATTTTTATATTTTCAATCTATTTATAATACTTACTTAATTGTTGTTTTTATTTTATGAAAGACATATTGCAACGTTTTTTTTACATAAAAGTTTTTATAGAAAATATTTAATAATGTTAATATAAGTTAAATAATAATAAAAATAAAAATTGTAATTGATTCTACTTTAATTTTTACAAATTTATTAATTTTTACAGTTTATAAATTTAAAGAAATTTGCGGGAATGGATGATAAATGTCGGACCAATCACAAACCGGGGAGAAGGTGGCCAGACTCTTATTAGAGGGTCACTACTAACAGTGAGTTAAGCCTGGCGAAGATTCGAACCAAAAAATCGTGGACATTACCGACACGATCGTGGACATTGGCTACATAGTTCAATGTCCGCGTTTTGTGGACATAGAGGCGTTTCAAATTAAGTAACAGCTAAATCCCGGGCATGGCCGCTCTCTCACTGGTTCCGTTGAACCGCCCGACCGGTGTGGACGCGTATCGGTTCGGGTGCTCGATTTCTGTATATTTTTTAGAAAGTGTTGCCGACTTTGACCGCGCCTTGAATTTCCTCCTGATGTGTGTCCGCGTCTGGCTCGGCCCGTTCGTCCGTCCGGACGCGCGTAGCGTGGCGTGACGACGTTGCAATCGCAGGCGCCCGGTATTCGTTCGGATTTTCGCCATTTTCGCGGGCATTGCATCATACCTCGTTTACATATTGCGTTTTTCGTTTACACACTACGACTTTTGTCACTGGCCTGGTTGATTGCCGTAGGATTGGCTACATGGCCAAATATAATCTAGAAGAAGATGGCCGCTCTCAGGCTTCTCTCTGCTGGAAGATACTCGATAGTGAGTGAAAAGAAGCGTCCATTACTCCATTGTATTGCGCTTTAAACTTCAGACAGATTCAGTGATTAACCTTTCACTGCCGAATAGGCATTTTCCTGCCTTTCCATTTCGCCATCAACGAATCATCGTTGGTGCATTGTTGGGCAACGAGACACGTTAGCCCCCACAGCTGCAAGCGGGTTGTAATTTTGGGAATCGCAACACTGTCGCAGAGAAGCAGGGATATGGATCGTAGAAGCGGTAGACGCGATTATTCTAGGAGAGACGATAAGAAGCGGAATTACAAGAGGAAACATGAGAAGTCACCGTTAAGGAAGGAGAATAGTCATCCCAGGCACAGAGAACGCAATGAGAGGAGCAGAAGTAAAGATAGAAGAGACGATTCCAGTCGAAGACGCAACGATCAGCATAAGCAGAGGCAGAGTCCAGAGGAGACGAAAGTGAAGAGAGAATCCTCGGCGGAATGGGGAAAATCGACTGCGAAGGAGGAGAAAGATAAGCCCAACTTTGAGCTGTCAGGAAAATTGACGGAGGATATGAATACTGTCAATGGAGTAGTTATAAAATACTCTGAACCTCTGGACGCCAGAAAGCCCAAACGTCGATGGAGATTGTATCCCTTCAAAGGCGAGAAGGCGTTACCTACATTGTACATACATCGGCAATCGGCGTATCTTATGGGCAGAGATCGTAAAGTAGCTGATATACCTTTAGATCATCCTTCGTGTTCTAAGCAACATGCTGCTCTGCAATATCGTTTGGTCTCTTATCAAAAAGAAGGTGGTGTCGAGGGTAGAAGGATACGTCCGTATATTATCGATTTAGAGTCTGCAAACGGTACCTTTGTAAATAATGTAAAACTAGAACCAAGGAAATATCATGAATTATTAGAAAAGGATGTGATACGGTTTGGCTTTAGTACCAGAGAATACGTTCTGTTGCATGAATACAGTAAGGATGATTCCTTTGATGATGATGTACCTCTTGCAAATGCAACTTAGGTAAATAAATTTATATTATGTCACTTATGTAGACAATTTTTAAGTCATATAGAAAAGAAAAGAATACAATTATACATTCATTCAGATATAACGAGACAAATTAACATTAAAAAGCTAATGTGACTTGGATCTTTCTAATCATGTCCCAATATTGACAAGAAAAAGAATTGAAAATTTTATAATTCCTATTGCATTATATACTTATTAAGATTAAATGTTGTAAACTGAAGAGATAGAGACTGAGACAGAGTATTGTAAACTGTATACACGTATAAATATATACACACACATATATATATATATATATATATATATATATATATTGACATTGAGATTCAAAGTTACTTTAAATATTGTGGGATTATAAAATTCTTAATATCTTCTTGTTAATACTGGAACATAAGCAGAGAAATCCGAGTCATATTAGCTTTTCAATTTTAATTTTTCTTGTTACATCTGAATATACAATTGTATTTTTTCTTTTTATATGAACTAAGAAATAACAAATATTTGTATATTTACACAAGTGTATATTTAGAAATTAGCGAACCTAATTTTAACAGGGAAAATATCCAGAGATGAATATGAAAACTGATACAGAAATTGAGCTGAGAATCAGAAGAAACAAGATATCTTTGAAGAAGAAAACCGAATATGTATGTAGATACAATCTTATAATCTCTTGATAATCTTTCGAATCTTCAGAACCATCTTAAATATATATTAATATTAGTTATGTATAAAATAGTAGATAACAATACATATATAAAAACAACTTTTAAAAATTATAGTGAGTTTGTAAAATATATTGGAAATTCGAAATTTACTTGTTTATCACAAAGAAGAAAAAATTGTACCTTATTTATACATTTTCCTGTGACACTATTTTGCATCTTAATAGAGTTTAAATTATATGATGTATATGTAAACATGTAGATTAAAAATCGAAACTCTTTGATGTATATTGTCTGTAATATATTATTTACAATTATTTAGTTACAGTATTTACTTCTTTTCACAATTTATTTTCCTATAAAGCTACTTGAAAATACAAATTTCAAGTATAGTCAGTCCATCGGCACAAACTTCATAAGATTTTATACATTCTAATTGATCTTTTCAATAGAAGTACACGTACATTTTCATGTTGTTAAAACTACACAGAAAACTTAACAATTTCTTATATTGATTTTTATATTTGCAAATTATTATCAAACATGAAATTTGTACAATGAAATGAGACATTTCATATTTTATTCAATAAATATGTTATTTAAAATTATAATTATAAAGTTAAACTATATATATTTCACATTTATTATTCTCTATATAACATATCCCTACATTAAATAACAGTTTCGCGATTATTACTAAAGTTGCGAATTTATACGTTCCAAAACGATCTGCCATATCTGCGTGACAAATTTTTGAGTATAAAAATTCATGTATGTACATTAAAATGGCAGTTTAAAGCTATTGTCACCTCTGCTCCTTCTATCTTTTATTTTCATATATAGAATACTTGGACATTAATTGTATAAGCAGAGCTTAATGTATGTTCGTATATAGTTTGATATATTTAAGGCACCGCGTTAGGAAAAGAGAAAAGAAACAAGAGAATTTGAGCAAAATCGTAGCGACTGTCTCGAGTAATTTTTTAGCTACAAGGTAAATCCATCTGAATAGTTTCTAGAGAAGAATAGGTCTACTATGGTTATCACATTTCAAAAAACCTTGCTTTAAAAATAATATGAGTGATTGTATGTAGAAATATATTCTCATACTTTATAAATATTGGAACATTTAATTGCCTCAATTTATGTCATTCAAGCTCAGAAGCGATTCGTACGAATCACGCTTATTTTTATACGAAATGTTTGCGTAAATCTACAGATTTGCCACGATCGGCGTCTCACGATCCATTCACTCTGACTGCGTCCACGTTTATATTTGTATACGTGACGATATTATTGCCATCCTCGACGACGGGCGTTTGCCGCAATAAATTCAGCAACGTGCTGTTTATTACGAGCGGTATATTCGCCTTGCCATTCTGCAAGTTCGAGTGAGTCCTCTGGACCTTCGGCAATATACTCTTCGTCGCCGCGCTCTCGCCCGAAGGCACTTCCTCGTTCACGTTGTTCGTGATGACGGCGTTAGTCTTCAGGGAGGACGGTAGGACTGTCTGCGAATTGATTAAGGACGAACTAGGACGTGTGGATGGTGCCAGACTATGCGAGCTGCAACTTCTACCCTCAATGCTCGCCTCGGAGTCCCTTCGCTCACCCAAGTTGGTCTTGTACTTTCGCTGGCCATTCAAGGAAGAGAAGGAGTCTCTTTTCAGGGTCGCCTTCGCGATCGAGCCCGCAGATTTCGAGCTGTCTAAGGTATTGCATTTATCCGGAATTCCTGAAACCGACGTGCCCTTTCGTTCCGGTAAGTTTAGACTAGAGATCGATGATCTTTTGTACAACTTTCCGTCAAACTGCTTCTGTTCCTCCGTCGAACATTCCTTCTGCTCTTCTGTAGTCTCCGTGGGCAGGCTGCTCTTACGATCGTGACTCGTACAACTAATTCTGCTTATATTTGCCAGGTTCTGATCCGAGATGTGGATTGAGCGAGGCACTTCGTAACCGTTCGTAGGATTCTCCCTTAAGACGATGTCTTCGTTATCCGCTAATAATTCTAGATACTTCGGAGCCTCGCCGGATTGCGGATTGAGCGTAGCGTTGTTTGAGTTTTGTAAGAAGGGTTGCATATCTCGACTTCCTTCGGAACTACTGGACTTCCACGAGTTTCCTATACAAAGTAAACAATAAAAATGTATGGCAAAGTAATTAAATTTTATTAACTTATTAATTCTAAGAATTCTAAAAGTTTTTTACGTATTTCTTCCGTGATGGGAAAATAACATTTCCGTATATTGCATGTTTTCGTGTTTGGTATATATTACTTTTATAATATATTATTATATGTGCAAGAAATTGCATACGGCTTAATTAGAATGATTAAAATGGAAAAATACGTTCGATGAAAAGTGGAAAAGTCGTATTTCTTGACATGAGATGGTGGTGTATAGAGAGGCAGACGATGTTTGTTAAGACCTACCTGAATTATTATGATTCTGATTCTCGTCAGCAAAGTAAGCCATGTTAGACACGCCTGCAAGCACGAGCCATGCAATGATCAATATGTATTCAAGCAGATAGAGAGTAATATTCCAGTACATTTTAAGGATGATAGAAGTTTCGCGATAAAACGGATTTCGTCATATGATTCGACAATGTCGAGTTATGTGAATGTATGAAAAACATGCTTATTTTTCGCGATATAAAAAACGCGATCTGAATTAATCTTTGTTATCTAGTAACTTGCAAGAGATTTCTTTATTTTTCAAAATTTATAACTCAATAAACTCTAATTAAAACTAATTATAACATCAATATTATAATTAGCACTCAATAATGTAACTGTTATGTAACACATTTGTGACGTTATATTCACATGTTGAGTGTGAAATTACATATTGATATTATGTTACTTTTAGTTTATGTTTACTGGAAATTTGTGATGTAATGAAGACTTTTTATTCATTGCAATTTGTCTCATTTTTCACGAGTTCTGTTTGTGTGTTTTCCAAAGAAATACTTCTCACACCTTACATATTTTATGTAAACGATGTTGATTATATGCAAAATTATAGTAGCCACGTTACGTACATGATATTAAAACGAATGGTTCGTATAGATACATCGTTTCATGTAATGCGAGGAAATAAAAAAAATTGCATAATTTAATTAATCAACATTCTATTGATTTGCAAAGATTCCTCGTTCCATGCAGAAATATGCGCGCAAATAAGGATTAATGTCAATTCACCTCTGCGTGCCAGATAGTGTCCAGCGTGTACCGGGCTCAACACCGCATCCTCTATGTGACTTCTCAGAATGACAATGCTCTCGAGACAAATTTTGAAGCTCGGCCTGGCGTCCGCTGCGCTCCAGCAACGGAGCATCAGCTGGTGTAACGTCGGTGGACAGTTGAGGGGTTTCGGCAGCCTGCCGCCCGCACGTACGTAATGTAACACTTCCAGATTGTTCCTGGCAGGATAGGGTTGTTGACCCAACGACGTAATTTCCCACATTAGCACCCCGAACGCCCAAACGTCGCTCTGCGAAGTGAATACCCCGTCCACCAAGGATTCTGGTGCCATCCAGCGAACAGGAAGCAGACCTTCTCCTTCCTAAAATTTTCATTTTTAATTTTTAATTGAAAAGAATTTTTTTCTTTCTTTTGAATAATGATCATCTTGATTACGCATGTGAGACTTTCACGGGTATTTTCTTCAATTGTACCAGAAGGTTTGCGGGTTATCGTTCACTTCATCAGAGCGAGAGGATGAAAAAAGACACGGCGATAACCCGCAAACCTTCTGGTATAATATTCATCTTAGAGAAACTTGAGCCTGAATGAAATTGTACAACATTCGCTGAATTTCTCGTTCTCGAAAGAGAAATAATATTATAATTTTTTTAAGCTTTTTGCATAGAGATAAATATTATTTTGATATACAAAATTGATGTAGAAATGAAAGAGAGCAGTCTATGAAGTTTCTTATTCAAAAGTCTGCACTTACCTTGCGGTAATAGTCATTCTTGTAGATATCCCTGGCTAGTCCGAAGTCGCCGATTTTCACGACGCGATTTTCACGATCTCTCGCAGACACCAGGCAATTTCGACACGCGAGATCTCTGTGCACGAAGTGCAACTCCTCCAGGTAGCGACAGCCGCGCGCAACGTCCTCGCACATGCCGAGCAGATCCTGCAGACGCAGAGCGTGCGGGTCTGTGGGTTGCAAGGAGCGACTTTCTCTTAAATAGCTCAGCAAGTCACCGGCCTCCATTAATTCCAACACGAGTAACGGAGGATCCGTGTCCAAGCAGACGCCCAGTAACCTGAGCACGTGTTTGTGGCGGAAATGACTCATGAGTCTGGCCTCTTGCAAGAATTCCGTCTTCTCTTGCGAAGAGGCGTCGTTTCGTAGCATTTTTATGGCAACGGGCGTTATGCCCGGTCCTTCTAAATCTTTGGCATTTCCTTGAAATACCTGTGAGACATTTAGAATCGATTTCAAATACACAAGTCATATATAAAATAATTTTGATTGCAACATTAATTCTTCTCTCGCGTCTGAGATTTTATCTTAAAATATCGCAGACGCTCAAAGTGTAGTGTTTTATTTTCAAGCTTTATTTCTTTGTTTCTCGATCCTGCAAAATTAATTTCTACATTTGAAGTTTAGATCTTACCTTTCCGAATGCGCCGCTGCCTAGGAACTTTGCCAGCGTGATTTGTTCTTGTCTGATTTTAGGCAGAGCAGAATCATCCGGATCACTTTGTAGCGTAGACGCGTAAAGCGCGTTAGATTGAACGAAGTTTCCGCGAGGGATCTCGCGGAGGGTCGCTAATTCGACATCGGATACTATCGGAGGCAAAACTGTCTTCTTGTCTTCTTTCCGTTGTCGGTACACTGCTGGATAACGTTACAATATACTCGTCTGATATCGTGTCTTGCCACATAGATATATAATAAATGTATAATTAAATGCGAATTGTCTTCTATTAAGAAGTTTAATTTAAAACATGCCGTTTTATTGAAATTAATTTGCAACTGAAAGAGCAGGAACATCTATAACAAGTATATACTTACGGCAGAAAAAATAACAAAAACACACGAACATTATAGTGATAACGATCGCGATGAGGCCCAGCATCAGCGGTAGATGCTGTTGCGTAGCCAATATTCCTCCGGCGGACTCCGTTAGATCAACGATCGCGCTCGATCTACTCCAGGCGCCAAAACCGTAGGCATTTTTCGCCTGCACGCGAAACTTATACTTCTGATCCACGTCTCCGGGGATTATCCAATAGTTGTCTGTTCCATTGTAATATAAATCCCAGTGCTCGTCCTCTTCACTCCCGTCATCTTGCTTGTAGCTGTCGTCGACGACCAAGCCTTCCAGTCGATACAAAGTCACCTGTGAGCCATGAGCTTGCGCGGCTTCCCAATTCAACTGATATACGGAATTTCGGAATTTCGTTACCACAGGCACCCCTGGAGCGCTCGGAACGTCACCTTCGTGCACAGAAATCCAATTTAAATTTCTCTCGATTTATTTCAGTGCGCTTTGAAACTTTTAGAGTGAACCCTGAAGCGTGAAATCTCACTTTTAGAGATTAAAAATTGAGTTGCTCTTTTTTTTTTTTTTTTGTAAGATTAGCTCAATTTTCACTCTTCACACGGTGAGATTCCATTCCAAGGAATTTAGAGAGTACATTTTATTTAAAACTTCATTGTTAACTCAATTATTTCATTTCTATAATGATACTAAAATATGCTTATGGTAAACGGAATACCAATAATATTTAATTCGATTGCATGTGCTTACCGAGTGTTTGAAATGTAAACCTTCCGTCGGATGGTTCCCATATGAAGTCTTGATACTTGGGATATCTCAGCCTCAAGCGAAACTTGTACAGGGTACGTGGCTGCAAATTTTCTATACGATACATCACTTGGTCCTCGTTCACCTCAACGTGTTGCACGACTTGCCACTTCTCCATCGCGACATCCTGATACTCCAATACGTAGCCAATCGTTAGGTTGACGGTCGGGGTCCAGGATATGTTCATGCTGTTTACGCTGACCCCGTTCATCGTTAAATCGTTCGGCTCCGAGTACATGCGGATACGTTGCCTGAGACTGTCGTTGTAGAAGTCATTGAAATTGGCAGGATACACACGCACGTACACCAGGTACTCCTGTCCTGGCAGCAACGGCTGCAGCGTCGTGAAAAACCTGCCGTCCGCCGTGCGTTTCGGCTCTTCGATCAGTTGCTCGCCCTTCTGCCGCATGCCGTTCTGCAAGAGATCATTCGATCTCCAGTGCACCTCGTAGTGCACCACTGCGGAGTTCAGCATCTTGGGTGGCATCCAGTAGATCTCCGCTAACGTTGGTGTTAGGGCCTGAATCGTGACATTCTCCGGCCTGCTGGGCTTGCCGACGCTGGTCTTCAGCATCACTGCCTCGCCGAATTCCAAGGTTTTTTCGTACAGATTGCTCAGCGCCAATTTCAACTTGTACTCCGTAAATGGCTTCAAATTCTGAATCTCGTAACGCCTCTCGTACGTCTGCACCCTGATCTCGTCACACTTACTCGGTTCGTTCTTCAAACAGTGGGATACGTTGATAGTGTACAGCGTAGTGGGTAAACTATACTTCTGACATCCGTACTCAGGATTTGGTTCCGGAAGACTAACAATGATGCTGTTTGCTGTTTCGCTCACCCTCTCAACGTTATAGCCCGTTTGGCGGGGTATCAGGCATTCCATGATGGGATAGGGTTGCAAGGATGTACCGAAGGCTGTGATCCGATGTACATTAGGCAGGTAGAAGTTCCTCACTTCCAGATTGGACACATTTTCCTTGTCCCCCGCGAAGGAATATTCTTTTCTCAAAAAATGGATTTGATTTCTTCCATCGTACCAGTATATATTCATTTTGTCGACCGTCAAAATCTGTATACTGGAGCTCGCTCTTAATATCACTTTGCACGCGCAGCCATGAATATCGGCTACGTTTAATTGGTCCCTATCCGATATCCAATACATCATCGGTTTCTCAATATTGGTCTTGTCAATTGTGAATGTGGATACATTCTTCGGTTTCTGTGGACAGGTACACGTGCTACCGTTATTTCTAAAGAAGTATTGCACATTTTTCCCCTCGAAATCCGACTGCATTATACTTCTTTCACTTAGCTCAATCCAATATAGAGATCTGAAAAATACAATATTTTAATTTCTCTATAATGTTAAATATAATTTTGAAAGAAACATAATGAAAACTGCATGTACATTTTTTTACAATTTCATGTTTTTCAAGTCATAATTTATTTTTATTACAATAGTTGGCATATTGCATAATTAGGAAATAACAGTGATAATAATTTAACAAGTATTTTACAGATGGATGAAAATATTGACGTACCCCAGAGATGGCACGATATCCAGAACTGTGATTAATCCTCCTCTTCTTAAGATACTTTTGTATTTGATTATACCTGCCTGCCACATTGTTAAATCTAATCTTTTGATATAACTGTTTTTGTTATTGTCCTTGTCTTCGCATTCCACCCAGTACAGATTTCTCGCTACCCAATCGACGCAGAGGCTGTGCGTGTCGGTTCGGTTTAGAGCAAGTATTTTTGTCGCGTTGCTTCCATTTGTCAACGATGTCACCAGTTCCTGCATCTCGCTGATCCAATAAATTTTATCCTCCTCTCTCAAATAATTGATCTCTTTCGCAACATGCCTGGTGATCGTATCGTTAATCTCCCTGTCCAAGTCCGACAATCTCACAGCGTCAATCGTGGCGACTAATAATTTCGGCACCGGATTCTCGTACGCGGTCGACACATTAATGGAATCCGTGTAAGGACCGGCACCGATCTCAGTATATGCTCGTACTTTGCAGTAATAAGTCGTGTTAGATGTTACATTAGTCGCATACTCGAGCTTCGTAGCTGAGATGCTGCAGTTGTTGCAGATAAATACTCTCTCCTGGTTCACGACGTGCCAACATTGGACAATGTATCCTTGTATTACTCCATTTGTAAACTCGGGCGGATTCCATCTGTGAAATAACATATATATTTTAGCGTTTCTATATATTTCTCGTGAATCTCTTTATCGATATTAAATCTTGTACCTACATGTACAAGACGGATACAAATCTGAGAAAATCAAAGTATGTAGGGGCACAAAGTATTCTAAATTCTATACCTAAATATTAAACAAATTTTCATGTCCATGTATATGTTTTTCTTGCTGAACTCTATGAATGCTCTGGGAGATGTTGGCTGGCTCGGCACGCTCTGTGGAGATCTCAGGATTTTCCGAGAATGATGCGCCGTTTCCCAATAAGTAAATGCCTTCACAGTGACTTCGAGAACGGAATAAGGGAGGATCTGATCTGAATTGTTGTACGGCATTGTCGTTTCGATCGTGATTTCCGGATTCGAATTCGTGTTGATGTAATCCGCGAATTTCACCTCATAAAAAACCGTGCCGTAATTAATGTTCTTCACGGGATCCCATGATATGTTAAAATTTCTCCAGGTCCCTTCGACTCTTATACTATCGAAGTCGACTGCGTTCGGTAGAACTATCACTGTTTCTGACGTCAAATTTTTCGGATACTGATGATGCGCGGGATCCGTAATGGCTACCATGTACAAGCTGGACAAAGTGATCCCGTTGATTACCGCAGTATTCTGACCGGAAAGATCACCGATCACTGCATTTCTGTCGTCCTGTAGCCACAACAAGTGCTCAGAAAAATAGCACAAAGGTCCTTGCATGTTCGGATGTTGCAAAGCAGAAACCTCGAATTAAAAATTGATTGTTTTCATTATTTCTAACTGTTTATTTTATTTTCATTATATGCTTAATTATTGTACATTAATGATAAATAATTAAAGTCCTTGTCACGAAATCTATAATTTTATCACTTAAAATAAGGATTAGGTGACAACTAATAATTATTATGATTAATAATTAAAAATAATAGAATTTATATAAAACCAAGTTGATTGTATAAAATGTACCTTTTCCGGAATGATCTTTCGATTCATCGGAATTCTTTCGGACGTAGGTGCACGGTAGACGATGGATCCGCTTTCGTAACTACGAACGATCCAGTAAACATGTCTGTTTTCAGTGTCGAGAGTTAATCCCATCACTTGCTTTCCATTGAAAATTTCATCCAAGTGATAGTATCTCCTGTCTTGTCCATTCAGTCGTGCAACTTCCACTGCGTGGCCAGTGGACCAATACAAGTACGCCTCAAGAGAGTCAATCATGAGCTCTTTTACAATTGCTAAGATAGACATCGGCTCTTGCTGAGATCCATTCAGGTTCGCTCTTGTTATCTGTACATTGAAAATAATACCCATTGCTCCGTAAAATATAAAAACTTTACAGTCATCCAAGATTTAAATTATATAGAATTTCGTAATGTAATATTCTTTGCTTTCAGTCTTACAAAAACACTGAAGTACGTAAATATTGGAATTTAATATATGTAGTTAATTTGTTTTGAATTAAATAAAGATCTAACTGTATTTACAATCTGCTGTTTTGGATTTGCCCAATAGAGTTTCTTCGATATCCAATCCACGGCGACGCTTCCCACCGAATGTATGTTGAGCTTTGTTTTCTGATGATTGCTGACATTATAACGATACAATGCGGAATTATTTCCTACTATGTACAGCACGTCCTTGTACCAACTAATATCAACAATGTGGAATTCGTTTTCGGATTCCTTTAGACTCGCCTTATTAACCAGCGTGTCGATATTTTCGCCGGTTACGTCACTTTTCAAAATTCCCTCGTTCGATGACCACAAGATAGACGCATGTGAACCGTTTCTGGATATATAATTTTATTTAATTACTGATTGAAATAATTGGCATAAAATAAAAAAAAAAAAAAAAGAAACTTTATAAATGTAAATTCCATTATGCATGTAAAGCTTCATTAAGGAAAAAGTAATTAAAGAAATATTGTATATAAATTTTTTAAATTCCACTAAGTAAAATGATTTATTAATATCACCTTAAGGTTTGCCCACGAAACTCCGTGGACCACGGTCCTCTGCCGGCGCTGGTGTAGGCTGCGGCTTTGATAGAGTATTCCGATCGTTCTCGCAAGTTATGAACAGTGTGAGACGATCCGGCGATATCCGTTTGATGGATAGTTTCGCCAGTAGATTCGTCCTTGATTTCGAGCTCGTACGACCAATTTTGCCAGGCGCCCTTTCCTTGGCCGCCTAGTAAATGAGGAGCCTGCCATGAAACCTTTGCTCTTTCCGCCCCTAGAACAGCTTGCACTCCTGTCGGTGGATTCACTGGCACTGGGACCGGCTGACTTGCATTCATCAGTACCGTCACGCTTACGAAGGAAGTGTCGGATCTTAAAAAAAAAATAATAGTTTTGCTTAAAATATTTTATTAATGTATTACTGATATTTTATAAACGTAATTAATAATTTAATTTTTCAGTTAAATATATGATCGAAGGAAATCTCTCTTAGAAATTAAAAATATATATATATATTACTTGTCAGGATAGGAATTGTGGAAGTATCTGTTTTGACCAGCATGATAGCCTTCAGTAAGGACCTCTTCGCCATTGGTCCAGTAGAACAGTCCGTTTGCCATGGCTAGCGAAATAACGTTATCAAATTTCGGTTTCTGCGTATTGGGGCGAAGATTAACAACTTCGCGGCCGTCTAACGATACGGATATGACTGTATTTTTAGTGTGATCGGGAACGAGCAATCGAAAATTCGTATGGTCTACCGTGAAGGCACCTAAATGAGCATCTTCGAGAATTAAATCCGGTCGAACCTAAAAAAAGATACCCCGTTGAGAAATTCTTTAAAGATAATTTTTATTTTTTATTATAATACATCAATATCATGACATTTGAAAAATTTAAAAAGTTATTTTATATGTTGTACTAAGAGATGCAAAATGTTTATACATTTAAAATTGATAATTGATTTTAAATGTATTAAGATTTTGCGTCTCTCCCGTTACAAGCAGAAAAAGTAGCTTTGATGATACAATGACAAAAATGAAAATAATTGGCACCTCATGCTTCACACCGTTGCTGATAACGGCTAAATCTAATCTGTACAGTCCTGCTTTAGTAACCCAGAAAAGGTATCCGTTGTACGGATCAATCTCGATATGTGAGGGTCGAGTTAGGAGTCCAGCTACGGCCACTGTTAAACTCTTGCCATCGAGATTGCATCTAGCTATTTGCCACGTCGCGGTCGTCGCGTGTTTTACTTCCCCTAAGACGTACAGGTGAAGATTCAGCCAGTCAACGGACAGGCTCAGAGGTTTGAAGTTCACTCCGTTGGGGATTAAGATTTCTTTCGGTGCGGACCGCTCGATGATCGTAGTTCGATGTACGTAACCCGTCGAAGTAGAAACGAATAACTGAGCTGATGCCACGTGTATTGCCACGCCGCGAATCACATTTTCGGTTTCGTAAACGACGCTAGGCTCGTCCAGCATATCAGCACCCTGCTTCATGACCAAATGCTCACCGCCGAGGATGAGAATCGGTTGTTGAGTATCCTTGACTAAAATTAGTCATTATTCGTCTCATTAATCACTTTAAAACGTACATTTCCACGTCATAGAGAGACGTAAATTACAAAGTAAGAAAAGTGATAACTATATAGTGCCTTGATTCTTTAAAATACATAATGTAAAAGTGTTACGTTAAAAGCATAAAATACGCGATTGTTTGAATAAAAATTTATTCAATAAATAATAAGACTGACAATATTTATCTTAATTGTTTTGCGTGCATATTTTTGAAATGAAAACAAGATTTATATTCTTCCTATCGTCAAAGAATTTTCTATTTCTTGAATTAAAAGTTATATTATTATTGTGTGATACATGTTTTTTTTTGAGTTAGTGTTAAATATACATATACTAATTTTCTCATAACGTACCGGTAGGTTCTGGAGTCGTAGAAATATAGATTGTTGCAGGCGGACCCTCGCCGACACTGTTTCTCATAGTCACGCTAACAGAATAATTCTGATTGGGCTCAAGGTTTTGAAACATGTAGTGATCGGTATTTTCAGAGACTGGAATATCCTGTCGATATGAAATACAAGATTTACTGTATAACTCAAATACATCCCTATTGCTAGGAAATATATAGGTATGCAGTTTAGGAGAGTAAAAGAACGCCATGCCAGAAAATTTTGCAAATAATCTGGTTCGTGCAAGTCGTCGGACTAATGTTAGAGGATACCATAATTAAGATGCGAGGTATTTACCATTAAAAGCAGTATAATTGGAGTTAACGTCAAATAATTAATACCAGTGCGCTCGCATTCTCATGCACAAACACACACACTTACACAGATTTTACGGTACTCGATTCACCGATTTTTTTTTATTCTCCCTTAAAATAAAATAATAAAATTTATGAAAAAAAAAAAATGAAAATTGTGCTATAACATAATTTTACAAAACTTTGTAAAATTTTAATAAATATTTCTTTGAATAGTCTTAGCGGAATATTTACTTACAGTAAATAAATATTTAGATAAACGAAAAAAATAGTTGAATCAAATTAATAGTTCTTGGATCTAATAAATATGTTTTACATTTATTCGCTAGGGATATTCAAAGAAATATTTATTAAAAGCAAATCTTTTTCACAATATATGTAAATAAAAAGTAACAATGTCTTGAATATTAAGAAATTTTATTAATAAATGCGTGCGCAGTAATACTTTGCATAATGCTCTATATAAAGCATGCATTCCTTGTAAATTGACATTAGTATGCAACACAAAAAGCTAAAAGGTACGAAGTAAAATTTATCGGCTTCCATCTTTAGCATATATTCCAAAAAAAAAATTAAATACGTTTAATGTAACAACAGATATTTTTCTAATTTCTAATTAAAATCTAATTAACGTGGCCAATAAATCCTCTTCAGACAGGATAACGGAGTCTACCTTGCAGAACCAGTTGCACATTGCTCTTTTGCAAACAACAGTTAGACAGTAACAGCAAAAGCGTGACGCTGCTGACGCGCCTTGCAAGCGCGTGAAGAAAATGAATCGAATCGAATATGACGGTGCACAGCGAGTTGAAAGAAAAGGAATGCTTGTGCACAAATAAGAGAGAGACACGTCAATGCTAAAATACAGTTCGGCTGTAGAATAAACGTGTCTCTATAGGCTATATACTTTCTGGCGTAGCGTGTACCTTAAGCTGGTTCAACCCCTTGTGTTCAACCCCTTGCAGGCGCAGGACATAAGACAAAAGTGGCCCGTTCGGGAATGGGCCTGGTTCCCAAGACACAGAGACGCGGTAACTGTCTACCGCCGCAGCTCTTACAATTACCGGTGCTGATGTCGGCAGATCGGCCGCGTACGTTAATATTACCACGCTCGGCGCTGAGACGATCGGCTCCGGATTGTGCTGCGACGATTTCAGGAGCAGCGCTACGCGAAACTGCAAACGCCAGCGTTTTTCTTTGTTTCTTTTCGTCATGAAGGTTTTCGTGAAAAGATATTTGTGAGGAGAGAAACGGTTCAACAGTTTGAAAGTATTCTACCTAAAGTCTATACGTCATAAGTCTATGATTAACATTCATTTGGCGGAATCTCTCGAGAGAATGAGAGTAGCAAAATTTCATTTAAATACAAGTGAATAGAAAATCAATCTTCGGTTTGCAAAAAAAAAAAAAAAATTAATGTAGACTCTTAATTAATTCTTCTTCGTTTCCATGTTCCAATTATTACGCTTCTAATTCTGTCTAATTCTCTGATTTCCATCCCCCACACGTACCCTATACTTAGTGTACGGCTGCAGATTCTCGACCAGTATCTGATCACCCTCGCCCCATGACTGATTGCGGCAATACTGCCACGTTTCAGCCAATTCCTCGTATCTCCATTGCACCAAGTATGAAATGCCAGCGCGTCTGTCTATGTCTACGCCTTTCCATTCGAGGCTGAGCGACGTCGCCGTCAACGAGTCCGCAACCAATGCCGGCGCTGGTGGAATGCCGATTTCCAATATTTATTAAAAAGATTTTCCCATTTAGATAAAACTTCATATAATAATTAAATACAAACAAATATTTAATTTTATTTATATCCACAGATGCACTCCAAACCAAAATGTTGGAAGCTTTTTAAAAATTGACATTTTTAAATTACTTGCTTTCAAGTAAGTATCTATTTTAAATAATAATTCTTTAAATCCACACAATAACTATTGTTGTCTGAAGAATTATTGTTAAAAAAAAAATTGTTGGAACAATCTCAAAAGTGTCAATTATTAAAAATATTTCCAAACTTTTGATCTGGAATGTATTATACGTGTCAATACGGAAAGTGTGGAAATGATTAAAAAAGAGAGTTTAATCTCTGATAGAAATAATAATACAAGATTACAGAAGCATTGCAACGTAACGGAATTGTGATAAACAATGTACGATCATATCGTTACGCAGAGCAATCTTAAACAATACGCCCTGTCATATCATATCATCTTAACCCTCCGCTTCAAAAGTGACACGTTAAACACGATTCGAACGCTCAATGGTCGACAACGAAAGGGAACGGATGTTCGACGAGTACAACGAGATTCTAGACAGCCTGAGGACGGCGTTCGTGGAAAAATGGAAGATGAAAATGGACGACTGTGGAAAGCCGGACGACTTCGACCGTTTCCGAACTGTCGGCACCGGTGCCTTCGGCCGCGTGATGCTCGTGAAGCACAAGCCGACGTCCACGTATCACGCTATGAAGGTCCTCGACAAAGCGAAACTCGTCAAGACGAAGCAAGTGGATCACACGCGTAATGAAAAACGGATCTTGCAGTCCATTAACTTTCCCTTCATAGTCTTCATGGAGTTCTGCTTCAAGGCAAGGGTTGAGAATAAAAAAAATTACACAGCGTCGCTAATCCTTCAAATTTTATAAATACACGTAGAAAAGCGGCTTACTGGATCGTTTCTCTTTAATGATACATCAAGTCACAAAGTTAAATCGTGTATACACTGTAATTGGTATGTGCGATTTATCTCTCTGTCTTGCTGTATCATATTAAAAAGCACTGAAAAATATTGGTGTGGATTTAACAGCGTATTATATCTATATAATTTTCATCATATTGGTGTTGCTATCAACATGATGTATGGATTTAAAACTCATGATGTTAAATCTACATTATATTGATATTAAAAATCCAAACCAGCGCAGTGAAAGTTATATAAATACCGCGTAGTGTTAGATGTACACCAATATTTTTTTAAAGAAGACACTCTTTAAAAGGAACTGAATTGTCTATCTTTATATTTAAGAGATAATAGATGTCCAAGAAACTCTCTTGTAAAACAGACGCATAAACGTGTTGTGTTTTAATTCCCATTTTAAGGACAATTCGTACGTGTACATGGTGCTGCCGTTCGCGCAGGGCGGTGAGATGTTCACCCATCTTAGGCGTATGGGGAAGTTCGATGAATCGCTAGCGAGGTTTTACGCCGCTCAAGTAGCCTTAGCCTTGGAATACCTGCACCACTGCAGCCTGATCTACCGGGACCTCAAGCCGGAGAACATCCTAATACAAAACTCCGGCTACATCAGGATGACCGACTTCGGCTTCTGCAAAATGGTAGACGGTCGCACGTGGACATTGTGCGGCACCCCGGAATACCTGGCGCCGGAGGTAATCCTGTCGAAGGGCTACGGCAAGGCTGTCGACTGGTGGAGCTTCGGTGTGCTGATCTACGAGATGAACGCGGGATATCCGCCTTTCTACGCGCACGATCCTATGAAGATCTACGAGAAGATCGTTGCTGGTAAATACAAGTTCGCTCATCACTTCGGAGAGGAGTTGAGGGATATCCTGAAGAATATTTTGCAAGTGGATCTGACAAGAAGAATCGGCAATATGAAGGACGGTAGTCTGGACATTAAGAAGCACCGCTGGTTCAAATCTATCAACTGGATCGAGATTTATCATCAGAAGGTGCAGCCGAGTTTCATTCCCCATTGCAGTAACAGCGGCGATGCTACCAATTTTGATCATTATGATGAAGTATCTCTGGAGGTCTCGTCGTTTGACCAATATAGTAAAGAATTCGCGAATTTTTAAAAATAACGTTAGTAAATTATAAAAAAAAGAAAAAGAGATTACAATGGATTGCGGAAAAATAGTTAATTGCGTATGAAAATATCTTTAAATATTTTTTATCTCAGAATTAAAATTAGTTTACAATGACAATAAATAAAAATCAATACTTTTTAAGCGTATCAAAACGATACCGCGTGTAATAATATTAAAAAGAGGAAAAGAAGGAAATATTAAGAAATTTGAATTTTTTAAATTTAAATATATATTGGTATATTTTTCACGTCTAAGTGTTTCATACACAAATATAATTAGATTGCGTAAAGTGATATTTAACTGTAAGTTTGAGGTAATATGTTGCCATGCGTTGACAACAAATGAAAATGTTTTTTTATTCTAAGATTTCCGATAACGATTTAATTCTGTGCTTGTACGTTACATTTATTATGTAAATAAATGTATTCATGCTATCAAGTGATTTAGAATTTCAAATTAATATCTTGAGAGACACATTACCTTTGAGCTGCTGAAAGTAACGATTTAACGCGTCGTGGCAGCCCAAAACGCAGTACAATTCCTTCGGTGGTAACAATTCTTGCGTTCCATTCTGTGAACATATATATCGAGGGTTAAACATTAAGTTATATTATTATTATAAAATTAAGAAAATATTACGTAAAACTGCCGTGCGAAAAACTACGTTACGAGTGCAGCTTTACGTAAGTATCTCCGATAATAAATGTCACGAAAATAAAAATGGCTGCGATACTAACGCATACGGCTTGGCAGCTTGTGTCGAGCGCTTGTTCCCATGCTTCGCAGCCTTTCGTACACTGCAACAATAAATATAAAGATAAGAGGGTGGCAGTAAAGATATTCTAATTTCACGTATTTGTAGAAGGAGCGACCTCAGTCTTTTTAAATTTTGTAAAAAAATTCTGAGACAAAAATGCGGAAGACAGTTCATATTTGATCTTCTTTCCAATAAAATGCATCGTCTTATGTTCACGTTGGTTCGCTATAGAATAGTTCTAGTTTTTCAAACGTTATTATTTCCATGTAATAAATTCTGTTAATCATATGCTAGATAATACACGCTCAGTGAGAAACGACAATGGAATCGACGTCGATTTGACGATTTCGACGTCGAATCTAGAGATGGGCGATACAGCCTTGTCATAATTTAAAAAATCGAAAATTTTTTATCGGTTATCGCAAAAAAATATCGATATATCGAATATCGACACTGTATCGCCCATCCCTAGTCGAATCGACATCAAGTCAATGTCGATTCCATTGTCATTTCAAACTGGACGTAATAAACGGTTTCGCTAAAATTATAGAATAAATTAGCTAGATGTAAATCCAAAAATAATTATGTTCGACGTTCGAATCAATTCGAGAGAAATGTAAAAATTTTTGATGAAATATTATCTCATCATACTTTAAACCTATACATAATTATTTTGATGGTCTAACAAAATTATTTTCAAATCTGTATCTGCATAGCTAAATTTGTATCTTCAGTAAAACTATAATTCTTTTTATAATCACAAACTCTTTTTTAACAATTACAATTTTTCGCAGCTGGCCTACCAATAGTCGCGGCTATATCTGATTTGAACGCACTTAACGTATCGTGCTCCTGACAAACAATAAAACGCGAATGTGTCGGATTTGTGGAAAATCGGTCTGTGTCCGGTGCGCATCCTTCCGCCGAAGGTCGCCGAGCGTTCAACAATTCGCTAAAACGCAGCTGCGGAAGTGCTGCGGTCGAACAATGGGTCACGTTATCCGGAGCGAAATGACATAACTCGCGCGTCGTGCCGCTACATGGCGAAACGGTAATTTTTCGTGGCCGATCTCCGGGCTGCGTGGCACGTGCCTCAAGTAACGCCCACGTTCATAAGACGCTTGCCGCGTGGTACCATGCCGGGCATGGATTTGCGAACTGAAGTTTAACGCATTAACTTTCTGCACGAGAGAGGATGTGGGCATTTGTCGTCGACAACAAGCCGTAGCTGTAACCGAGGACGCGTACGGCTCAGCGTCCACCGCGCCAATGTACATTGTTTATCCCGTGGTTCACTGATAGGAATCTTTCGAGGCCTCCCGGCTAGTCTCTTGAGAATTAATTCTTAAGAAAAGACTCAAATAAAAACACATATTTAAATGCGAATGTTGTTTTGCATCAATCTAGAGGGACTAAGAATGAATTTACCGAAGATGAATGTAACTTACTGCTGAGGAGTAATATTTCCATTCCTCTTTTATATTTCTCTTTTACATTTTTCTTTTATATTTGCACTTCTCATCAGTTTTGGATTAGTTTTGTTGTTTTTTTTTTTTTTTAATGCAAAAGTTTTTTTGAGCTACTTTACATGGATTTAATTGGTATACAATGTTGACGTTTAATATACCGATTTTTCTATTAAATTTAATTTTATATTGTTTAAAATTAGTATTATTATAAAATTCTAAATATTATTATACATATAGCGCGATAAATAAATAAATATTAATACAAGAAATAAGTGATTAAAAGCGAATTTGAATAAGTTTTAATACTCTAACGTTTTGTTCTTTTAAATATAACATTGCTTTCGCAATATACCGGATTTATATAGACAGAGATGTATAAAGTGTTGTAGAGTTTTTAAAGAAAACATTCGAATAAAACAAGCATTCGAATGCAACTGAAAGTATAAATATACAGAAGCGACTTGTCTCTCGAGTGCCTTGAGAGCGTAAGAGTTTCTGTAAGATCTGTAGCTCTGTTTTTGGAACATTTCGATACATATAATCCTATTTTTAAAAATTATAAGTAATACGATGATTTAATTTCGTAGTTCTTATTATATAAATTTTAATTGAAATAGTACTTTTCGTAAAAGAATACAATATTTCTTTCTTAACCCTTACGCTTTCTTGTCACTTCATTGTCATAATTTTACCGGCCTTAGCGATAAGTATAATTTCGTAATACAGTCGATCCATTTTAATATCCGGATACAAGAGGTGCTATTTAGCAATTGGCGAACCGATCGACACTCCGCTTAGCTTGAGAGGCGCCGCATATAAATAATACCGTAGGTACTCGGCGCGCATTGCAGAATAATAAGCAAATTACATCGCATCTACAAGAAACCCAATTTCCTCGAGCGAACCGTGACGTACTTTTGTTTTTAATTTAACCCTTACCATTATAACATTAATTAAAATTTGATTGCAATTTAATGTATGTTCGACGTTTTTTTCTCAGTTTCAAGGCAATTATACTTTTAGGAGAAATATATAATAATTATACTTGAAAAATATAAATAAAAAAAATCGGTCCGAGATATAACATTGATCAATACCGATATTTTTTGTCGTTGTCTTACATCATATATATATTTACTGTCAAAACATACACAAATGTGATGTTTACGAATTCTTTTGATAAAATTAGATCCAAGTATTCAACGTCCCATACTTTTTATTATTATATTATTAAATATTAATAAAAAGGCCAACGAGCCCAAGTAAATTACGAATACAAAGATAACAATAAAATACATATAAAACAGTTATATACAGACATCCTTTTTAAATAACTTATGTTTAGTCTTCACTAACAGTCTCGGTTATTGTTTTATTTCTCGAGACGCGCGCTATTATTGTATAAGTTTCAAGCGAGATTGTTTCATAATTATACCTAAAAAAAAAAAAAAAAAAGATACAAGTCTAATGTGAAGTGTGGATGGAACTTTCGAGATGCTCGTCGCATTATACGCTCGTAATAACACGCGTGTGTATGGTGGTGTACGAGGGTATCACATAGGTCAGCTCGTATGAAAAGTCCGTGGAAGGAAAGGAACCTCCAGCGCCAGATAAACGTTATTAATAATCATTTGACGTTGGAGCTCTATGACAGTTCTGCTGAATCTCACTGAGACGCGAGTGTGTCACATCTTAAAAATCGTAGAGTCGTTGATTTCCCGCTATAAATAAATTTGTTTACATTAATCGCAGAATTATGTCAGCGGTATTTAGTGATCTTAATGCGTTTTAAATTGATAAAAAATGTTTTCAATTTCAATTCTTATTGTATTGTAAAGCATTAGCGACTCTTCGAATAATTAAAAATATAGGCTTATTTACTTCAATTTCAACTTATTTAAATGATTTATGTATATATGTTTAATAGACAAATATTCAAATGTATTAACAGCGGAATTTATGCACGCTTGAATTAAGTATACATATTTGGGTACATCTGGCATCAAAATATGCTTCGCAATTCTGATAGTAATAAGGAGCCATGCGAAAACGTAAAATCTCTTACTTACGTTTCCTTATCGTGTGAGTACGCCGAAAAAAAAAAAAAAAGAAACTGTTGATTAATGTCTTATCTAATTTATGACCGTAGTGACATTGTTGTCTCCTCGCCCTTTTCGATTATTTCGATTAATTTACAGCTTATTTTTAGTAGATTATCAATTTGCTCTTTTTTGTTCCTGAAAAAAAAAAAAAATATCAGTCTACTGTGAAGCAAAGGACGTACAGATTCCGGAAGTTTAATTCGTTGCAACGAACATCTGGGCGCTTTAATTCGACCTGCCTCGATCAAACATGAGTTTTTAAACGATCTAGCCGTCCGCGTAATGGGGGTTGACAAAACTATCAGACAGTAGAAAATGGTGGAGCCCGAGCGACTCGGCGCAGCGGCCGCTAATTTCTCACTTCCTCATTAAATCCTCACCGGGTATTATGCCCCCAGCTGGGTCCTCCCTCCACACACATACGGCTCCCCGTAGATCGTAGATCTTCGTCCTACCGCGAACGAGCATTTATCTGTCCTCTCCTCATTTTACTTTAACCCCATTTACTGTTCTCGGTCTGACTCTGGTAACCATAGACGAGCAGAGAGGAAAAAACGGTTATGGCGCCTCTCTCTCTCTCGGATCGTCTTCTTTAAGTAATGTCTTTATAACGAGCTGCTGATTAACATGGAACCGATTTTTGATGTCAAATGTTCCAGTAGATTTTGTTGAAAGATCTTCCTGGTTTGCTTTGATTATCTCTGATAATTTTTATATATTTTATATATTATTGTAATTATTTATTAAAATATAATTTTATTACATTTTGTTGAAAATAAGCATATATGTTATATGGCTCGCAATATTCAAAGCAATGCCTGTGTAAAAATAAAATCAACAATGAGTAAAATTCAAGATGTTAAATAATATGTCAAATAATTTATTAGTATGACAAATTTTATTAGATAAAAAGATTTATATTCTGTCTTAATATTTTAATTATGTAAAATCTTTATAAATGTTATCATTGCTGAAGAAGATTTCATGGAAACAAAATTACACAAAATATACTCTTTCCATTTTTATTAGTAAAATTTGTTATATGTTAGTAAATTATAGATTATTATATATTTATTACATTACAGGTTACAACATTTCAAATAGTTATTGTTGATCTTATTTCAACATATATATTTCTGTATTTGTTTAAATGCCATTTTTCAACGCTTACATATCTCTACAGTGATTTCTTATAATAAGTAACTTTTTTTTTTTACAATAACGGTAATGATTATAGAAAAATTTGTCCGAATAGGTACACTAAATCACTTTCTTTTCATTTCTTAATTTGTAGTAGTTGAGATCTGGTTGTAGCAGTTAGCATCTGGCAATCTTTACTCGTGGCAGCAATTTTCAAGTCAAAGTGGCTTCTGGCAGTGACCACTTTCAAGCGGGAACATTTGTATGGATACGTTGCTGTCAGTGGTCCTCCACTTTACTACATTGTCAGACAAACACACTCGATCGTCTGATTTCTTGGCGCATGATACACGGAAGTAAGTGTTTATCGTTCGTTCATGGTTTTTCTCGATGTATACACATAAGGAAAGTGCTACGTAAAACGTATATTGCAAGAAAAATATTCAAGATATTAAATTCCCTTTTGTTTTCGTTATTTGTCGCATAAAGAGTGTGCTCGATATATTTTATCTCGGGTAATTTATGTGCAATTTATTAATAATGAACTCTTCGCAGAGATCGGAAGTAGTCATCGACGGATATTTCCGGAGACGAGGGGATGCAAGGCTACATTAATATCCTAAAAAAAAAAAAAAAAAAAAAAAATGCGAGGGCGTCGAACAAAAGAAATTCCAGCGGTATTAATTCGTCGTTATCGACCTGTGAAATTACCGGAAGAGACGTAAAAGTCAATCCGTTGATGTTTCGTGGAGCGAACATTGAACGCGATCGACATACACGCAGTATATTTCATAAATATCAATTAACTTAATTAATTAATTAAATAGATGGATTTCTAAAAATATAGATTAACAGTAAATATATTTCAATTCTTTCTTCAATTTAAAATTTGAAAGTTAAAATTAAAAATGATCTGAAGTAACTGATGCGAAAATTCGGGCGTAAAAGTTGAAAGAGTGAAAAAAATTGTGCGCGGAGTCGAAAGTTGAAAAATCGTTATCTCAGTCGAAAGAACGCGAGATAATTCAGCCGCGGCGAAGACTAAAAAGTGGGTCGCGTCGAAGCGCGTAAATGTCTAGGATCGTGAAGTGCCTTCCTCCACCTACGTTGCCCCAATCCGTTACTCGTACGCGTTATTGGCGACTTACGAACCGTGAAACGAGCCGAGGGAGGAAATCGTTTTAAGCGCAATGCTCGCGTGGTAATTCGTTTTCCAGGCCTCATTCCGCGACGCGTCCAACGAACGCCGAGTGCGATATCCTGAGCGGCACCGAACGCATTGATGACCGTGTTTTTCTCTCTCTCTCTCTCTCTCTTTTTTTTTTCGGAGACACGATAATTAGGCACGCCAGGATCTTCTCTGTTCTCTGTATGGGTTAATTATCACGCTCGTTCTCTGTCCTGGAGACACGCGTTACTGGATATCCTTCCGGTCTCCCGAAAATCCTTCCACTGGAATATGCTTTTTGACGATTTTGAAATAATAAGCTATGAAAGAAATAACGACACAAGTGTTAAGAGAAAGTGATTTCTTTTAATTGTAATAATCCTTTTAACTTTTATAATCCCATCAAATGATACAGTTTTATGAAAACACGCAACACATTCCTTTTTTATAACTTTACACAGAAAGAATTCAAGGTTTCCTCTATAAAATAATTGTACCTTTGTCGAATGTTTGATATATTACTACTTTCTTCACATTATCAATTAACTTTGACAATTTTAATTCAGCTCTCTCTTTCTAAAGACAAAAATAAATATTGGCGAAGGAACATACTTATTTATCCCATCGTGTAACGGAAACTGGTGATACAACGAAAGCGCGACTCTCCAGTTACTCTTCCGTTTTTCTCATTCACACTTCCGTTTCGGGCAGAAAAGGATAAGAGAGAGAGAGAGAGAGAGAGAGAGAGAGAGAGAGAGAGAGAGAGAGAGAGAGAGAGATACAGAGAGAGTGAGAGAGTGAGAGACGGGCGAAGCGCGAGAGAGTGAATCCGGAGTCGCACGGTAATTTGGCGACATCCGCCATCGGTCGCACTTGTACGCGATCCAATTTAAAAGCACGAAGCCGTACCGGAGAGCGAGAGAGAAAGAGAAGGAGCGAGTATGGGCCATTCTTTCATTCGTATACGCAATGCGTTTCGTACGCACGTTGGTCCCATTCATCGACCGCGCGCGTTGTTTTTTCATTTTGCCGTTCGCCATCTCCGTCGCCGCCCGTCGCGAGTTAGGAGCGGCGGCGGGGCCCCCTGGGACACCAGCGGAAGTACTTTCATTGTAACGAGAGGGACCGCCGTCCCTTCGTTTTCGGTCTGCGACGTCCGCACTGGTCATTTGCGTATATATATCGCGCTATCCCGGCAGGATTGTCCGATTATTACCCCCGAACTTTGTTATATCACATGCGATTAAGTTTTTATTGAGGAAAGGACAAGACGAACAAACCCTTTTAACCCTTTTAGCAATCACGATTGGGCCTTTCGTTCGTACGATGCACATTTCTACCCTTCGAAAAAAACTAGAAGGCATCGAGTAATTAATTTACAAAATTTATATACAAGCTTTTTAAAAACGCAATCTTACTTTGTAAAATATACATATAATATATATAATGAACATGATGAAATTTAAGGACACTGATAACTCAGTATGTATAATGAACGATCAGGAAATCATACCAATGTTTAAAGAAGCAAGAGGAGAAAAGCATATCTTCCCGATATCATTCATTTCAGTTTACTTAAGCCCGTGTCACACTACGGATTGTGGACGCGGATCGGATTGAGATTGCGGATCGCGAATTCATCGGAATACAGCGAATCAGCACAAAGCAGCTTTATCTTGATTGGCTGAATTCCGATGAATTCGCGATCCGCAATCTCAATCCGTAGTGTGACACCGGCTTTATGGCAAATTCGATTGGATACACTCAATGCTTACTGGTGAAAATTAAGACCGTCGTACACAAATTAAATAATCGTACATCGAAATATTTGCACTTTTACACAGATTGAATCAGTGTACAACGACTTTGATCGATATGCATCGGTGCGTCCAATCGAATTCACTATTAGTGTTATTCCCTTTGTTACATCAATTATAGAGAGCAATACGAGGACACATGATGTTACTACCCGCGAATACCCCACATAGTGGACGGACAAATGAGAGAAACAATCCCACGAAATTCTAAAGAGAATCATTTCCCACATCTTACAAATCTTTGATGCGAATCAATGATTAAACCGGGAACTTCTTACCTGATCGATCTTGCATCTCACGCCACATCCTACCTCCGAGCTCAAGTCGTCCGTTCGATTCTAGAATCAAAATTACATCTCATCTTAAACTAAATGTCTCACTCTCTCTTAACAAAACTTATATTTTAACTCCAGAATGAAATCAAAATTAATAACAAGTTAAACTATACTAGTTTAAAATTTATATATAGAATTATTATCAAGTAACACTATTATCCAGTCTCAACTGTGTATTTAGAGAGCATTTCTTATTTATTTATATTATTGAAATAGAGATCGCTTCGACACGAAACCGTTACATTGATATATCGATCATAACGAATAAAATACAAGGGGACCGTCGAGTGAAACGCAAAAAAAAAAAAAAAAAGAGAGAGATGTTGAACATAATGACGTGAGCGCGATTATGTTACGCGCAGGGGCGGCGGAAAATAAATTGAATCGCTTGCCGTCTTTAAAAGACGTTAAACTGTTCCATCCGGTTCAATTGACATCCCCAGTGCACGCATTTGACGCGACACGTTGGAATGAATCGCCGAATATAATCGTCCCTAAGGTGCTGCGGGGCCCTCTCGTCTCGCACACCAACTAGATAACGCTCGTTACAGCGGCTGCACCTGTAGTACGTTACGCACTTCCGGGACACAGGTGCACGTCCGGGCAGTCGATGGTAACCGAGAGTAATTGGAAAAAAGCCCGGTCGGGAGATCGGCGAAGAGGGAGAGCCGTACGCAAATAGAGGAGGGGTGCGAAACGAACCGTAGTCTGCCGTCATGGGAATTTTGGACGTCGATTTGTTTCACCGTCATCCTAATTATCGTAACGTATTTAATTATAGAACAGACACCCCACCTGCGGAATGCAAATTCGTGTATTGCTGGGGAGGAAAGGTCGACGACGTTGACCGGTCGAGGGATTTCTGAAATTTGCACGAGGCGTCTAGTCGTAGTCTTCAGGGTTATCGCCACGAATTTTTAATCGTAAAATTTCCCGACACTTTTCCCTGATTTACTGACAAAACTTTGAGACTTTTCCTGACTTTGAGCCGAATTTAAAAAAAAAAAAGGTAGTCCAAACCAATCATAGAAGCACAAAAGGCAATGTAAATTCATTTACAGCTATTTTATTTTCCCTAACTTCTCCTGACTTCCCTGACGCATTTTTTTAATTCCCTGACATTTCCTTGACTTCCCTGATTTCCCTGACTTGTGTCAACCCTGTTCTTATTACATTTCCAAAGTTTCTATCGATGATTTCCAGTATTGTGATTTTTGAAAATAAAGGCAAAGCAGGCTTTTATAAAGAATGTCTCTATAATAATTCTTTACAGTATTTTAAAGATATATGTATGTATATTAACATCAGTATTATTAAATTGTAATATTACACATCTCAGTTTTGAGAGAGAGAGAGAGAGAGATTTATAATTATAAGTATTTTAAAACTATAAGCATAATTGAGCCATCTTGTTTATTTATTTCAAGTTTTAAGTTCCAGAATAATTGTGCGCTAAATTCAATTTGCGCGCAATAATTTCTTTTTACGCAGCCGACAGAGCTGTAAACGTTCATTTAGTTGGTCAAGTAGGATCACCGTTACATAAACGAAACGCATCGTAAATTAAACATTATAGCTTCGACGTTAAGATCAGACGTTTTCGCCGGTTTTTCGCAGAACCGTACGAGAGCGTCCTCTACAAATAACCGGCGTGCGCCACGTTTAACTACGAGTTTTCGTAATTGGATAATCGCGCACGTATAAATTGTCGCGAGCTAAAATTTCCGCGGAAGCGACGATAATCGAGAGAATTTCGTGCGCGACGTGGATACGCCTCGTGTTTTCCTCACGCGTACAAATCGCCGACGAGCGAACGGCGCAGCAAGTTCACCGATAAGGGTTAACCGGGAGAGGGAGATAATGTTTTCGCGTACTATCTCGCCTCTCTCTCTCTCTCTCTCTGTCTCTCTCGTGGATGTATCAATTTTACGACGATTTTTGTTTTTTTTTTTTTTTTTTATTCCACTCGCGGCTCTCGTCTCGTGGAAATATCTTCCCGGCAGCGCGCGAGCCGTTTTGTTTAACTCTCTGCTCGATTAATCAATCCGACTTCGCGCGTCATCAACAAACTTCTCGGCTGTATCTGTCGCTACAGATATATAATGGATACTTTAATAACTGCATGTATCTGTAGAATACACGGGGATATCTTAAGGTATCGCGCCGAAGGTATGTATTTTGCTTCACACAACACGAACCGATATATTTACGAGTATCACCAAATTCACACTGATTTAATTAATGTAATCCTATGTTGATTCTTGTTTACACCGAAAGTTACTTGAAACTTCTTCGAAGAAAGCAGCGAGATGATGTAAAGAAAATAATGTATGGAATATTTGAGGAGAGGTAGGAGAAATTCGTAGGAAATCTCTCGTTTCATTTCAATTCGACTTGTTTAATGAATTCTTATATTCTTAATTTATTTTGCTCTCATAATATTATACTTGTAAACTATTTTTATCGAGGAACCGCTTATTTGCGGGAAATAATTAATCAGATAATTGTTTTTTTTCTTCTCGGCAAACAATTCCTAGAAAATATTCCTCTTTTCAACCGCGAGAGCAATTTGGCAGAATGATTCGGCTTTTTCGAACGACTATAGTTCCCTTCTCTTCTTCAATTAATTTCCGGGTGTGACTCTTCGTTAACATCGACTTCTTTCTCGCGAGAGTGCTTTCGCTCTTACTGCGAGTTCCAAGTCCGTCTTAGAGAAGAGGAAGGAAAAGACGGTGAAATCACCTGCTAAAGGAACGACTCTATCTGATCTTAAGGTAATCGACTAATGCATAGCTGCCCGTCCTTCCGCACATCCTTCCGTCGTGTCCAACGTCTCCGTCACGCTCGACGACGCCAACCAACTGTTGCGTCTTCCCGCCATCGACCCGACATAATCTCCAAGACGGAAATAATAACCGGTGTCGTACACGGAAAGCTCGGATACCATGTATACGGAAACGCTTGTTCGCCATTCGGTTAAACGGCGCTAGGATTCCATCGCGAACATTCTTTTGGGACGTTCTCCCTCTTCGTGTCAATCATTGTGCACAATACTTATTTGCATTGCGCATTCACCGTGTGAATTTCTTTTCTTTTCCTTACAGAAATATCTTACTGTAATTTCCGAAAATTTAACTAGACGCAGATATGAAAATAACGAACTAACAAAATAATTATGTTAAAGGCATAATAAGTAAAAAATTGTAATGTTCTAACGACGTTTTACATAATTACGTATTTTGGTGTAGTTTAAAAAATTATTTTTAGACATTTCAGCAAAACTTTTTTCTGTGATTCTTTCATTATTTGATTAACTTTTAACAAATCCACTATATAGACAACATTATAATGAATAAAACTGACAATATGTTTATTTCTTATAATCGATTTTTCATTTTTGTGTTTTATTTCCAAAAAACTAAGAAGCTGAATAGAAATATTCTCGAAGAAATAATAAAAAGATCGGGAAAAAAATAAGCTGTTATAATGAGAGAGAGAAGACGGTTGCTAAGAATTGACCAAAACATCCCTAAATATAGTTGTTACGATGAGATCGAAAGAAACGACGGCACTTGATACTCGTCGAGACGAAATAATACGACGTGAACATGTCATTTTCCACGCGTGCTGTTTCAAGTTTAATGTAAAAGGTGTCGAGTTTTTTTCCTGCGGTCACCAACGTGCACGGTCGCACGGTGTTGGATGTACACCGGCCGGTGTCCACTCGGTTGGAACAGCAGCGGCGTAAGATGGAGCAATTGCCTTCGACGATCAAATCGCCGATGTTGGCGAAAGGGGACGGCGGACGTGTCAATTCTTGACAATCGTGATCCCGAAATGAGAAACAAATGTGATGACACCGGGCCGTTGTCGCGAAATATCGTTCGCGAGGCACTACCATGCCTCTCGATATTTAATTCCATATTTGTGCCTTTTATTTAAGATATATTTCAAATTTCATAAACCGGAAGAATCGAAAGAATCGTACTCTAAAAATTTTTGGACAAAGAATGAAATGAGTTTTAGAAAATTATACGTGCATGTATTATAAAGCAACGTGAGATCGATCTTCACTCTTCTCTCGATCGCAATATTTATATGTGATTTTCTTAAAACTTTGCTGACGTATTTTTATTTCGCAGAATATTTTAGAGTAGACGGAATACATTTTGGAACGTGTCTATCATCATACATTTCCTGAGATTTTCACGTATTTTCTTTACATGTTTGCTGAAAAGACACCGCCGGTATCATTCGAATGCACGCAAACGTTTTCTTCTGCGAACTAAGTCAATTATTCTCGTATTACGTCGGGAATTGAGAGGACAGACATCGCGGTTGGAGCTGCAATTATTAATGCGACGACCAGGAAATTCTCCGAGCTTCGATTTCGTAATCATCACGTGCACGCATTTTAATAACATCTGACGTGTATTTAATTACATTGGCTAACAATAAGTTGCACGTAACAGAATTCGAGATAATTATTATAAATATACATAATGTATATTTATATATCATACAACAATTTAATAAGCACGATATAACACAAAACCTTAAATAAATCGATGATTTATCTTTATATATATATGAAAGTTGTAAAATCAAAGTGATTACTTTCAATTCTCAAAATATCGCCAAATAGAAGATTGTAACATGATAGATATTATATTGGTACTGTTCACGAACAATTATATTTATTCAAACTTATTACTTCTTCTTTCAGTGTAGTGTACCTAAATAAGTAGGTAACTTAAATGGAAGTCCTCTCCCCAAAAGCTCCAGCGATTTGAATTATGGGAGCGATTAGGTGTTTAGGTACATCCTGGCGTGACTAATGCGACCACAACTATACCAGTAGTAATCATTTCCTATATGAATGAAATCTGCGATGTTGACACGGCGCGAATTGAATGGAGCGTAATAAAAATTGACGACGACACCGCGCGGCGACCCCGTTCAGCTGTACGAGATGAGAATCTAGGTTATCGTTGACCTTAAGT